CTCGCAAGTGTCGTGGAAGGCTCACTCGGACCCTTGTGAGGCTCCCCCCACAGGGCCAGTGGGGGCGAAATCGCCAGCTTCGCTCCATAAGATGCACAGACTTTCCCTCCCACTTTTTTTGGGGGGGGGAAGTGCGTCCTATGGAGCAAAAAATACGGTATGTTGTAAACTGCCCAGAGAGTGCTTTCGCACTATCGGTTGTATATAAGTTGAAACAACAACAACAAATCCACAAATTTGTCCTGATTCAGTCATTTAAAATTAAGATGAAAGATTTCTCCTTAGTTCTGTTACCTTACACATCTGTCCTAGTCTGTTTTACTTATAATGATCGGCAGTGCTGTATAGTGGTTAGAGTTTTGACATAGAACTTGAGAGACCCTGGTTCCTGTTCTCATTCTGTCTTGAAACTGGCTGGAGGGCCCTCAGACAATCATTTTCTCTTAGCATGGTCTTACTTCATAAGCCTCTTGCAAGGAAAAAATTGAAGAACAGGCAAGTTAGGAACATCCAGAATAAAAAAGCAAATTAAAATAGAAATACCACTTCTTGGTTTGAGTGGCTTCATTTTAGTCTCTGACACTATCTGTATTACTATACAATCCACACATATACAGATGTACATTGATTATACCTATTACATAATTCTGGAATTACTCCTCAAAATCAGAGAGTGATTATTATTATGACCCAGGATCCAGACTTTGGTGCTGCTGACAGAAGAAAGTAAGGCTATAGTTTTTGATTTCTCCTTCACTCAGCGCTGCTTGCAACACTGTTCAGAGGCTCCCTCAACCCTTTTGAGCAGTCAGGTTTTTAGAAGGATTGGAGACAGGTGATGCACAGATCTATTAATCAAGATTTTCTATTTACATTTCGCTTTCATACACTTTTGCTACTTTGTGATAATAGTTTACCCATAGAGCCAATTTTTAGGGTATAGGGGAAGTTTGGGAGGAAAAATCACCTTCAATTTGCAGGATCCTGCCACTGGATAAAAAACTGATCCTGCTACTGCATCAAAAACCAGTTTGGGAACACTGAGTTTAGTGACAACACATTAAGAAAGCACACATGCAAATTATAGGCCAGGGAGCCTTCCTACTGTTTCAGCCCCAGCCTGCACAGACAATGTATAGAATGACTAGAGTTATTATCCAAAACATCTGGCGAGCCAGAGTCCTCATTCATTTGCACTTTGAAGAAGCAGAGCTCATTTTTATCTGTTATGTCATTTTAATAGTACCGTACAGAATCTTCTTTAAGCTTTCTAGTGGCTGAGACAACCTTTGACCAACTAGTCTGAGTGCAATTTACTAGTTGTGTTTGGCAGCTGATCAAGACTTGATGAATTGTGCCTTTGTGTACCTTGTCTAGAAATACAGAAACAGACAAGTTGGCAAGCTTTTCTACTTGGTTGCTGGGGCTCTCTGTCCAGCTGGCTGACACATCACTTTATAGGCCTGTCTCACCATGTTCTTTCATTCCCCTCCCTCTACATTATGTTGTTCTTATTTTCACACCTGCTGTACCTTCTAATTATAAGTGGAGGGAGGGAAACACCCACACAAAGGAGGATTGTGATACCATGGAGGCAGAACACATCAAGGAGGAGCACCAGCTGTTCCCTTTTTTCTCCAAGGCCACATGTTCCTTCCCTCCCTCCGTGAAAGACTGATAAAGGTTCAGCAGACGAAAATCTTTTCTTGGCTTGCAACATTTTAAACTGTTTTGGCGATGGAACCAAAATCTTTTTTTAAGAAACTTTGCCACTGGAATCTCAAAGTTTTGTTTTCCTTACTGAGCTTTCCAGTAAATGAGGCGTAGCATAGTTTGACACTGGTTTCAAAATGATCAGACTCCAAAATGTATAGTGCTTCACTTTTGAGCCACTGGAAAAGTTAACTGTGGATCACTTTAATTCCTTTAATTGAAAATGTGGTATTATGGGAGTTTTAAAGAATACTCTCTTTTTTTCACACACAGAATCACAGATAAGGTTTGGCAGCAAATTAGTCAGTGTGAAATTGCTTTCTGAGCTACTCAAAGACATTAATCAGTAGAAAGTAAAAGACCATGTTCCTATTAGAAGACAGCATTGTCTGCATGTATAAATGCTTCCAAAATTCTCTTACTTTCTCAAGTGCAACAAACTAACAGAGCTCAGGAAGGTGTCTAACAAAGGAATTAGTAAATGGCAATGCAGATAGGTACTGGCATGATTTTCAATGGTTGAGGTTGATGACAGAGAAGGTGAGCGAGGTCACCTACTCAATTTCAGGGATCAGTGTAGACTGGAGCCTCAAATTCCCACTTCCAATTGTGGGACAGTAGTTTTAAAGATGTCCAACAGATGTGCCCTTCAGGGTGGAGGGGTAGGGTTACAGCTACTGGTGAGCCTCAGCTCTGAGAAACTGGCAGAGTCTCCCCCAACTCAATTTCTCTACCCTCAACTAGTGTGGCAAGTTTTAAGAGGCCCTTTGCGTGCAGCTGAAGAAGGAACAGAGGTGGCTGTCATCAGCATTTTGCATCTAAATCTCAAAGCTTGGGTGATCTTACCCAGACAGGTGAACATCACCAAGAAAGCTCTCCTCTGACAGATGTTATCATAGCATTTGTCTTACTGCTGTAGCTGAGTACCTGAAGCCAGAGCTCAGCTTTGCCAAAACATCTCCAGATTGTTTATGCCTTGAAACTTGCAG